TTTATATTTAGTATATAAAGACATATTTGATTTTATAACCATAATATATGAGTGGCATTGTTTGTAATTATTCTAGTAAAGTAAACCTTATTTTATAAGTAGCATGAGAAGCTTCCTAGTGATGACACATCAGCATGGCATTTTTGTTAATAACACATCACACAAAGGTTATTTTCAAAGTGTTTTCTCTTTTAATATATTAGGGATAATCAATGAAAATATACAATAAACAAAACCCTATGATACCAAAATCTTATCTTATGGAGGTTGTCTTTAATCTTTAGCAACAAATTTCATATAAACACTTTATGTTTTGGATGATAACTATTAGGCATGTTCGAAATATACACATTTTCATTTTTTAAAATTCATTTCTTCTCTGCTTTTCTCTACTTGAGAACTTGGTCTACCAACGTACAGACATTTCCAGCCTCGAGACCACTCGCAAGGTTTGTGAAAAAACCTCAATGATGTTTATAATTTCAGTTTTATATTTTTTTATCGATTTTGTAAAAAAAAATCAGTTTCCGATGATTCATAGCACAAGGTTTTACTCTCTATTTTCGTTTGATCTCTCTAATTTTTTCGTTTTTCTGTTTTGTTACAGATGGTTGACAATGCTATGAATACGGCCTCGGACTTTGATAAGAGGTTGTATGATAGATTTAAGCCTGAAGCAGCTCGTGGTGGAGAACGAGAGAGGATTCAAAATCTTAATCCTCTCCCACCGATTCCAAAACCAGAGGCGGCAAATGTGGGTCTTCTTCAAAAGATACTTCGAGAAGTTCGCTCTAATGTGGGTTCTATAGGTCAGATGATAGGTGGAGGAGACACTTCCAACGCCACTCGCGAGGTTTGTAAAATAAGTTTATAACGAATCATGAATTTTGATTAATAACCTCAAATTTTGATCGATTTTTGTAAAACTAATGTCAGTTTCCGGTGAGCCATGACACACGGTTTTTCGGCTTGAGATCTTCAGCCGTGGACAAGACTACCGAGGTCATATCAGGACGCGTTGAAGACATAGAGAAACTACAAGAGACTACCCCATCAGCTCTATCAAGACCAATATTCTCATTCGCAGATACATCAGGCTCTTCCGCACGCTGGACAGCAAGAAAGACGGACAGTTTTATAAACAAAAAGATGAAGATGTGCATTTAAGGTAAAAGAGTATCTTCAATCATGATAAGCATGTTTCATCCATTGTTATTTACTACTAAGTACAAGCTAGTGTATTTATATCACTTACACGTGCAGCCAATCGCATCTCTGTGATTCGTTTAGCCTCAGCTAGAATCTGCAGTAATGGTAGAGGGTAAGTGAAAACAAAGAAGAATTTAAATCTCTGTTTATGCCAATATATAGCGAAAACCAGCTTTTAGAGATATTTTTTCTCCAGATTTTCGTTTTAGAAAAACAGCATAAGACTTTCTTCTTCGGTGCGCACGAATCTATTGACATGGACAACCCTGTTGCTTAGCTTGCACCAAGGGTGGCAAGAGAAACGCAGAGAAGAGATTTTCAATGAATGCGGTAAAGACAGAACCCCAGATTCAGACACTTTCTCTAAACTCAAGCTGGTAAACTTAGTGGCTGAAGTGAATAAAGAAAGGGTTTCTTGTGACTGGAGAAACTCTCTTTTATGTCTTGCACCGATTGTGCTTCTCACTATTCACAATTGCAGATGAACATAGTGGTCATTGAATCGCTTCGCCTGTACGGGCCAACAGTGTATTATTTGGCTATGTGATCGCTTCTACTATAAGATTGTTGTTTTTGTAATGAATAAACATCGACAGCAAAACGAGTACAAAACTGAATTAGCCAACATTCTTTCGATAAATATTTTGCACTTTGGATTTCAATTTTTTTTTGTTTTGTTTCAAGTGACCATGTCTGAAGGTTTACCATTTCCTTTCAAAAATTCATTTCGTAGCGAATCCAAAATATTCATTTCTACAGCACATCAATAAAACTTAAGTGTTACGTTACCCCCCGATCAAGTTACCAAAATACTATTCAGTCTTCATATCTTAATCAGTTATGTCTTACTCAATTTCTCTAAGGATCACAGCAGAGAGAGAGAGGGAGGCTGATCATAACCATCATCATCGCATATATCATCACTTGTATCAATGATGATCAGAGCCTTTTCTACGTCCACTTGTCTGCTCCCCATATCATAGTCATACTCCCATTTTTCTGATAAATAAGTGAAAAAACCACGTGTATTTCTTAATTATATGAACATGTGAAAACCATATGAACATGTATTAATTAACTATTGTTTGCAAGTATTAATTAAGGGACTATGGTTTTCACATTCTCATATAACTAAATAAATTGATTATGTTGTTTACAATTTGTCCGTTGACTGTTTGACCAGGAACGTGAGAAACCCGAACTCAGCTAAGCCGTTTAACGTATATATGTACCTATACGAGCGGTGACCGTAATGGTGTGGTTTTGACTCACGACTTACGTTGTTGGCATGGATCTCTCTACATGGACCATTTCGAAGACAAGGTAAATTATTAAAATCAATTTTAAAAAGAATATTGTCTACTTAAATATCTAAGGAATAAACATTAAACAACGTTTGTCTCACTAAATCCTCTGTTACTTTGGACGTACGGCACATGACGATGTATACATCTCTCCTTCTTGCCGTTGGCTCATATTCTTGACCGTATGAATGAGGAATACTTCTTTCATAACCGTCTACAACTTCTAGCAGCCTTTGTTTAGCTAGTAAAAAAGACAATCGTAAAAGCTTTTGTGGTTTACTAATTAATGAGAAAACATCCGAGTTAAATACTGCAATTCTAATTCTGTGATTTTGTAAACCAGAAGACAAGTATAAGGCTTAACTGGAAAAAATTACCTTTCACAAATATTTGCGATACGCATTCTGGGAGAACCTGATACCGATCACGCAAGTCTTGAGGTGGAAAACAAGATTGAATACAATTTTATGCAATTAAATTTTGTCGTCAGAGAGGATGTAGTTGTCATTAGCCAATTTGGAGGATTATCTAATTCCAACGCCTGCAGTAAATTCGCAAAGATATGCGCTTGTAATGAGTCTTTCGTACCCTTTGTCACCTTGCTAGACTCGTATATGGACAACCATTTTCATAGGGAGATCGATAATTATTTGTTTCTTTTTGTTTTAATTAAACATGGTTTATCAATTTCGACATTTCATCTTTTTGAATATAAGATACTTGTACGTTTCTTATTTTTCTTAAACAATAATTAATTGTGATTTATTTAGATCTTACAGAAATGAGACTGAGATGACTATACTCTTAGTTCTTAGCTTTTATATTGATGATCATGTGTGAAAAAAAAATATAATGATTGTTTGCATGCTAATTAAAAATTATACGGTTCAAGACAAATTATGATAATTGAACATTAAAAAAAAAAAAAAAAATCATGATATGGAGATACTCGTTTGGTAACAAATAAATGATTGCCAATTAGAACTGGACATTTGTCACGTGAGTAAGTCGTTTTTTTTATTTTTGTCTATTTTCTTTTCTTTTCTAGTTCTACAATTATTAGTTTTAAACTTTTAATCAAGCAACTAAACAGAAAAAAAGTAATGTATGCCAATTTCAACCTTTTTTCTTGGTTTTAGCCAATTTCATCCTTTTAAATTATTTAGAAGATATTTGTAATCAAATAAGATCGATTTATTATTGTGTAAAGCAAAGTACAAGAAAAAGTAATACAATAAAATATTTTATTATATATATGAGTAAAAATAAAATTTGTATGCTAATTTGTTTTACTACGTGAGAGCGGATGAACCAAAAGAAGCGAGGCATTACGCGATGAACCAAAACTACTCTCATTATCCCTTTTTCATGAGAAGATGAAAGCGATTTGGTACAACTTTTGTTCATGAAAATTTGTAATGAATGATAACTTATATACAACGTACTAGGTGCATTTGATCTTCAGAGATCTTCTTCCTTTGGAGGGTTTGATCTTTTTCATTTGTTTTTGAGTTTGTAACTTAGACATAACAAATAAAATATTTAAAAGAATTTTCATGGTTTATTAATAGCTTAGAGACTAAAAATGTTTAGAATAATTCTAGAGACCAAATGTCATAGCAAACTATAATAGAAAAACATAGCATATAGATAAAATTTGAAAATTGAGAGATTATACTTTGAATCGGGGAAAAAATGCTCAGTGAAATCAAACAAATTTAGCAAATATTCCATGGCATGAATATGTTGAATAATTATAAAATATTAAAATGAGAAGAGCATAAAGTAAAACTGAATAAAAAAATCTGTCATATTCTTGCTTCGATTTCTTTGCTACACTGACTAAATATGACAAACACCAAAAAAGAAATGATGGAGAGAAATAAAAAGCACCAAAATTTTAGTTTTAATTTTCAGAAATTCCGAATAAAAACTGGTTTGAATATGATGAATCTAAAATGGTTGCCCAACAATAGTTAGTTACCCAAAAAGGAAAAATCTAGAAGGTTGTCTAACAAATCGTTGACCGAAAAAGGATTAGATGAGAATATTTTCTTGAAGCTCCTTTTGAAACTCCTCTCTTCTCCTCTCATTGTTTCTTGCTGAAGCTAAACTCTTTTCTTTCTCTTCAATCAAATATTCAAAATCATGAGTCTTAAAAGACCGTGATACCCTTGATTATCTGCTGCTGCCGGGCTATATTGGCATCGCTCAATGGCATTTTAGTATATTAGCAATTAACACTTGCCTATTTTTAGTATAGAAGATTTTCTCTCGATTGTTTCTTTATCCTAGTGATGTCTTGTTTCAGCATTCAACAATGGTTGTTGAGAATATACACACACTGACACAAACACACACACAAACGCACACATCATATATACATATGTTTTATGTGTCTTTGCACTTAAATACAAGTGACTAGACACGCAATTAGAGCTAACTAAAGCTGCTTTAGCAAAGCATATCCTACGACGTCGGAGACACATGGCGTCGATAGTGATGCTCCTTAGAGCATTGATGAGTTGCCGTCTTACGCCTAAAGACGAGCCGGAGACAGCGGATGATGCTTCTTCGTCGGCAGTGAAACTTTACAAAAATGTCGCCGGAGACCAAAGCACGACGAGGAAGAGAATTTCAGTGGACGTTGACACATCGCGTTTCATCGATAATCACGAGTTCACTATCGAAACTACGTGTGGGATCAATGATATGGATGAAAGGTTTTACTGGATTATTGTCAGGAATCACTTATTGATGTGAATCTATAAAGCGTATAATTAAATAATGTGAGTCCTTGCATAATTTCATGTTTTTTACTCATCGTTGGATCGACCATTCATATTTAAGTTCACGTGAGTTATATGAGCATTTTGGGCTACCAAATTGTCTAGTAAGAAATATATCCAGCAATCTAAACAAATCATGTGTTGTGACAATTTGAACCGTCAAATATTAAATTAGTCATATTTTGACGTGTGTTAATTAGCACGTCCCTAAACATCAAAGCCAAATATGAACTGATTCGAGTTCATTATTAGTCTACATTTTTTCCCACTATAACATCAAGTAAAAAACAATTTTATACTCCATCCGTTTCAAATTAGTTGTCGTTTTGGGAAAATGTATCTGCAATTATTTGGATGTATCTGCAATGCAAAACACGTCCAGATACGTCCAAATATTTGCAGATACATTTTGCCAAAACGACAACTAATTTGAAACGGAGGGAGTATTGAATAATTCACATACATGACAAATTACAATATCCTCGCGTGATGATCAAAAGATCTTAATATCATCGGGGGAAAAAGAAACGGAAAAGAAAAGGATACTAAAGATTTTAAGTCAAGATTCGTATACCAAGGCCGTATCTAAAATGGCATCACGCACGAATGTATTATTACACCAAACGTGACGCAAATGAATTCCTCGTTTACGTATCGTAATCGTGTATTTCCTTAATTATACGGATACGATGCCGTTTCGTGGCAGAACTGGTGGTCCTGCAAGAACCAAAAACTCTCGTTATCGGTCCACATGTTGTCCCCACCAACACAGCCCCAATCGTTGAACTCCCCGAAACCCGTTTGACCCACCGGGTCATACCCCGACCCGTTCACGATCCCACCTTGAACGTCCGATAACGTCTCCGCCGGGGAATTCGATGACGTTGCGGATAATTCCGATGCCGGTACGAACTCATGCTGCTGCTGATGATGATGATTCAGGTTAAATTGAAATAAACCCGGTTCGACCGGATTTGGTTCGTCAATAGGTTGTTGACCTGGGTCGGTGGTGATCATTGACTCTACTGGCTCACACGTGGCGGGTGATGATTGGGCGTTGATTCTCTCCACTAATCTCGGCATCCAAACATTTCTCATTGTCTCCTTGAAAAGATTGCTATTAACATCGCATCTAAGGTGTTTAGCTTGTTTCTGCACCCGAGTTCTCCAATAATTCTTTATCTCATTATCTGTTCTTCCTGGTAAATATTGTGCAATCTTAGACCACCTAGTAGTTTTCAAGCAAACAGACAAAACAAATCTCAAAATTACGCATATTTACATGGAAACGTTAAATATTTACATTTGGATTTTTAGTATATTATACCTATTGCCCCAGAGAGAATGGAGTTTGAGGATCATAAACTGTTCTTCGAGAGTGATATTGCCTCGTCTAACATCTGGACGCAAGTAGTTAAGCCATCTTAATCTGCAACTCTTACCAGTTCTCTTAAGCCCTGCATATTAATTTGAACTTATATAAGTATTTGTGTATGTTCATATATGTGTGTATATTAGAGATTGCATGATGATGTTTAATTGTTTACCTGAGGAACGAGCGATGTGGTTCCAGCGAGCATCACCGTGGATGGAGACAAAGTTGACAAGAATAGCATCTTCTTCCTCAGTCCATGGACCTTTCCGTACATCAGAATCTTCTTCATGAGTTGGAGAGTTTGAGTTTCGCTCGTAATCTTCCATTTTTCTTTATTTTAATGAGTTGAGGAAAAAGAGAGGGAGAGAGAGAGAGAGAGAGAGAGAGAGAGAGAGAGAGAGAGAGAGAGAGAGAGAGAGAGATGAGATGGTGTGAAATGTTTTGTGGATTAGATTTGAAGTGATTAAGCAATGTGTGATTTTTATATATATAGTGAAGGAAGACGAGAATAAAGATTTTTAAAAGTAGTCATTCGTTTAAGCCATTTGAAAATAAGTAGAAGAATGAAGAGTGACTGGAACACGGCATAAGTGTGATATTCAATTATTAATTTCTTTTATTCTTGTTTCTAAAGTGGAATTTTGCAACTATATAGTAAATTGTTCTAATACTAATAATTAACTCTTCGTTGGTCAACATTCTGTGTAATTAAAAATACTAAGGTTTGACCCTTTGACTTGTTCAGATGTATAGTAACACGCACTCTCGCTTTTCCTTTGATAAGAGTTTCTAGATTTTACCTTACAGTAGCGCAGACGTAAATTGTTGTATTTGTGTAATCCAGTTTGAAGTTTACTGATGTCTCTCCAGCGATGAACCTCTAGTTGAGACCCGGATCACTATAATATTAAAAAAACAAATACAGATGATCTAAATTATCTAATAGATAAGTTAAATTTTTTGGCATATTATATCGATTCACTTTCATCTCCACTATTTTCGTCAACTTCTTAATTTTTTGTATTTCTTTGGTTTCCATATCTGTGCCATTTTCAACATATTCTGTAGTTTCTTTATGACTGATATTATTCGAGAAGACTAATGACTAGTAAAAAAGAAAATAAATAATTGTATGTTGGTTTCCTAAAACAAGAAAGAAATCGTAATTTCTATTAGATTATAGACTTGATTCAATTGTAGATATTAAAGCCGTGGTTTAGTTTCCTTTAGCTTAACCATCTCTATATATACTTTGTACATGACATTTTACACAATTAATGAGAATAATCACATTTCATAATCATGCTTTATTATGGTATCAGAGCTAAACAGCTCCTAACAAACTTTCTTCCGCCATTGATTCTCATTCAAGCTTTTCTTCACTTTTCTCTTCAGATCTGGACGAAATCGAGCTTCTGATCTTTAATCATGAGTGTTTCCTTCACTTTGATCGTCTCCGATTTCGTTTTCCAGCTGATAATCGCAGTGATTGAGCTTCTTTCGTCTCTTTCTCTTTCCGTTTTGATTCTGCTCATTTCTTCTTTCTGTTGACCTTAATCAACGCCGTTTCTCGTTTTTCATTACTCTCTGCGGCTTGATTCTTCTTCGTCGATCTCAATTTCAACATTTGGAATGGGATCTTCCGATGACTCCACTGCGATTCCCGATCTTCGTCCGCCATTGATTGACCAATACGAGAATCCTTACTTCCTGCATTCTTCTGATCACGCCGGTCTCATCCTCGTCTCCGATCGTCTTGCTTCTGGATCGGATTTCCACTCTTGGCGCCGTTCGGTTCGTATGGCCCTCAACGTCCGCAACAAGCTGGGCTTCATTGATGGTACGATTCCTAAACCGCCTAATGGACATAGGGATGCTGGTAGTTGGTCTAGATGCAATGATATGGTAGCGACTTGGCTTATGAACTCGGTATCGAAGAAGATAGGCCAGAGCTTGTTATTCATGTCGACTGCTGAACAGATTTGGAAGAATTTGATGTCTCGTTTTAGGCAGGACGATGCTCCTCGCGTTTATGAAATAGAACAACGTTTGAGCAATTTGCAGCAAGGTTCCATGGATGTTAGTACTTACTACACCGAATTGGTTACCTTGTGGGAAGAGTATCACAACTACATTGAGCTTCCTCTTTGCACTTGTGGAAAATGTGAGTGTAATGCAGCTGCTTGTTGGGAGAAATTGCAGCAGCGTAGCCGCGTCACGAAGTTCTTGATGGGTTTGAATGAAGTGTATGAACCTACTCGGCGTCACATTTTGGTTCTGAAGCCAATACCATCCATTGAAGATGTGTTCAATATGGTTTCTCAGGATGAACGTCAGAAGAGTATCAAACCTTCTTCGAAACCCAATGTAGCCTTTCAGAATACTGGACCAGTTGCTACGTATGGTGATGCCTCTGATCAGGGTTCCTACAATGGCCCGATGGATAATGCTGCCTATGCTGCCTCGTATTCTCGCCAACAGAAACCTGTATGTACTCACTGTGGACGGACTGGTCACACTGTGCAGAAATGTTATAAGCTTCATGGTTATCCTCCGGGACATAAATTCTACCAGAAGCCTAACTCTGCTCCACCACAGTTTCCGTCTTCTCAGCAGGGATCTCGTTCGTCGTATCCTCCTCAGACCTCCCAGAAAGCCAATGTTGCTAATGCTGTGGCTGGTCCTTTGGGAAGCTCTGCTCCTCTTGATCTCACTCACTTTACAGCTGATCAGGTGCAATCCTTGATCAATCAACTCAGTGCACATGTCCGAGTCTCAGAGCAATCGTCTCCTTCCCTATCTGCATCTATTACAGCGAATGGTTATATGGATCCTCAATCTACTTCTGGTAACGTCTCAATTGATTTTCCATCTTCTAGCCTTCGTTATGAAAACCATTCTCTCACATTTCACATCAATGTCTTTCTTCCCTTTCTTCTATTCTCCCCATTGGTTCTTGGATTATAGATAGTGGTGCCACTAGCCATGTTTGCTCGGATTTGACTTTGTTTCATGAGACTTTTCCTGTAACAGGTGTAACAGTCTCCTTCCCCGATGGCACTAGTGTTCCCATTAGTCACATTGGCACTGTGCATATTTCCGAGCATCTCATTTTGCATGATGTCTTGCATGTGTCTGCATTCAAGTTTAACCTGCTTAGTGTTAGTTCTCTTCTTCAATATCAGAAATGCTCTGCTCACTTCTATCATGATTCCTGTTTTATTCAGGACCATATTCAGGACTTGACGATTGGTAAAGGAGTTCTCATTCATAACCTCTACATATTAGAGTCAGCTAATCTTCTTTCTTCTCGACATCTCTGTGGCTCTTTGGTGGATAGTCATCTATGGCATCAACGTCTGGGCCATCCTTCTTCTGCCAAGCTACAACATATTCCTGGTATTTTACCAATGTCAAAATCGAGTCATAGTCATTGTGATGTTTGTCCTTTAGCTAAACAAAAAGGGTTGCCTTTTGTTTCTAATAATCGTTTGTCTGCTCTCCTTTTGATCTTGTTCATCTGGATATATGGGGCCCTTTTAGAGTCGAGTCTGTTGAAGGTTTTCGTTATTTTCTTACTATTGTTGATGATTGTACCCGTGTTACATGGTTATACATGTTGAGAAATAAAAGTGATGTTTCAGATATTTTTCCTGCGTTTATTGAACATATTTCTACTCAGTATAATGCCAAAATTAAAGCTATTCGCAGTGATAATGCTCCTGAACTTGCTTTTCATCAATTGGTGCGTAACCATGGTATGGTCCATCAATTCTCTTGCGCTTATACGCCTCAGCAGAATTCAGTGGTTGAGAGGAAACACCAGCATCTTTTGAATGTTGCTCGTGCCTTGATGTTTCAATCCAACATGCCTTTGGTGTATTGGAGTGACTGTGTATTAACAGCTGTTTTCCTTATCAACCGGACTCCTTCTTTACTCTTGGATAAACGATCCCCATATGAGGTATTGTTTCACAAATCTCCTGACTATTCCTTCTTACGATCATTTGGCTGCTTATGCTATGTCTCTACACATCATAAAGATCGTAACAAGTTTAGCCCTCGTGTTGTCCCTTGTGTTTTTCTTGGCTACTCGTTTGGTTACAAGGGATATAAGGTTCTCAACTTGGATACTAACGTTGTTTCTGTTTCTCGGAATGTTATATTTCACGAGAATGTGTTTCCCTTTAAACAGCGAGCCCCCATTACACCTATCAATGACTTGTTTGGTACTTTCGTGTTACCGATTTCACCTCCTCCTGATATTGGACTGGAGCCTCAAATTTCCCCTGTACCGGTAACGTCTGTTCCTTCCCCTCTTACTCCGTCGAGTGAGCCTCATTTGGTATCTTCTGACCCTTCTCCTGCATCTGCATCTGGCATTTCATCTCCTGTTGTGCATTTGGAACCTTCTGAGACATGCATTCATAATGAACCTTCTGTTATTGCATCTCATGATCGTACTAGTCCTGTTTCTGAGTCTAGTCATGTTCCTGGTCATTCATCTGCATCATTACATCCTGTGCCACTTTCTCGGGACTCTAGTGTTCCATCTTCTCGGGTGGAAGCTGTTGCACCGGCTGCAGAAGAGGTCTCACGTCCCACTGTCAGACCCAAGCGACAAGGTAAAGCCCCTAGCTATCTTTCTGATTATTATTGTTCTCTTTTTGCTCACTATCATAACCCACAAGTCACTCCTTCTATTGCTCCTCATATTCCTTTTCCCCTATCCTCTGTTCTAGCTTACCATAAACTTCGTCCCCCATACCAATCTTTCATGTTGCTAGTGAGAATCAGCATGCTGACATTCTCACCAAACCTCTACAACCGGGTCCTTTCTACAACCTCCTTCATCGTATGTTTATTTCAAGCCTGTTTCATCTTCACACGACTCCGATCATACATAATCTTGATCCTGATCATGCTGCAATCTACGTTCCGCTTTTACAGGCTTGAGGGGGGTGTATTAGATTATAGACTTGGTTCAATTGTAGATATTAAACCGGTGGTTTAGTTTCCTTTAGCTTAACCATCTCTATATATACTTTGTATATGACATTTTACACAATTAATGAAAATGATCACATTTCATAATCATACTCTTATTAATTTCCAAAATAACATAGGACTATTGACATTTGAAGCAAAGTCAAATGAGAAATGGAGTTAGGCGGGTTAAGGACTTTGCTTTGAAAATGTAGCACAAATTGTTTTAAGTTTGAAAGAGTAGTCAAAGAGACGTCTTTCCTCTATATCTATCACTATGACTTCTATGCCTGTATTTACACAAACGGTAAAGACTTTTATGAGTTATTTTGGACAAAACTTTATCGCACGTGGGAATAAGATTAATAACGAAAATAATTTCCTTCTTCCTTTTTTGTGAAAGTTTCACGAGAAAGAAAATAGAGGTCGCCGTAGGGCCGTAGTATTAAAACCATGTACTCATTGATCCACTCTATTAATAAAAGAGGGTTGAAATAAATTAACATTAAAAAGGAGTAGTATTATCTAAAGCAAGAGTTTACGAAATGCAAGCAAACACGATATTATCACACAGAGACGCATAAATAGTAGCCTCCATAGTTCTTGGGAAAGCAACACTCTCGATTAAGTGTATGTACCTGAGAAGCGAATCAGATCTCGATGTCTTTATGAGACACTTGTCTGCTTCTAACTTTCAGCTTAGGATAAACCACACACACATGTGATGACGTGTCAATTTTATTCGAATATAGGTTAGATTTGGGTTGTATCAATATCTTAGACTTTTAGTGAACAATTTTTTTTAAATACCCCGATTCAGTGAATTGTTACATCGATTGGAAATCTGATTATATGACAGCCCTCAACGAAGCTGATGGCCACACAAAAATATAACGTTTTCCTGTTGACTTGAAAAAGGACTGGTCTCTCTCTAATGTAAATTTCGTAGATATTGATATATTTTCGAAAATATAATCTCCCTCGTCTTTTCGAATGTTGCATATGGAGAACCAAACCTAAAGCAAGTTTGAAGACAAAATAAAAAGAAACCAGTTTGATGCGGAAACGTTTTAAGAGATTAACCACTAAAAAAAGTATATTAAGAGGTTAATCAATTACTACGACACGTTAAAAAGCCTGAAACCAACGAAGGAAATATAACCACACAATAGCAATATGAATATATGATTCAGCAATCTAATGGATTTTGCCTGATTTGTATGATGATCGTCTGCTCGAGTTTAATTTTGTTTGAATAAAAGAATAGAAAAACATAATTGAAGAGAAAGACAAAATAACTAAAAAAGGATAAATATCAACAAAAAAAGTGAACAATCAACCTAAAAAGACGTCTACGATCTATCAAAATCAGAAGAAGTACCAAAAGTAGAACCCACAATCTTTTTAACTTACACGCTCAAAATTATGTCGTATTCATATGCAAAGCCTCTTTCTTTTTGTCATCTCATCTGGTTATGTCCAATTCCGATTTGATGCGACATAACACATAAGCCTCCAACCAAACATCTCTATAAGACAGGTCAATCCCAAAATCAAATAAAACATCTAAATATTATAGGGCTATAGTCTATAGATAAGACTCTAAAAGGGAAGATGGCTAATGCTTAACAAAAAAGGGAAGATGACTAATATATCTCTTATTGATGGATCCGTTTTTCGGTCATGGAGTCGTGTTACATATCCTTTAAGAGGGAAGAAAAATAAAATAAATAATTGATTCTATTTATGATTTATTTGTAAATTGTAAAATGTTATAAATATTTATTGTGCATGGCGTAGAAGCGATGACGTAAATATGATGACGCAGAGGAGAATCCTCTCATGAGGGTTCGAACTTTAAACTTTAAAGCATGTGGTTCGAAGCTCCAAAGACATGACCACAGAAAATCCATGTTTTAGCATCTATTATTCTTGTCCAAAAAAATAAAGCATCTATGAATCTTTCTCGTCAACGCACCAATATTGATGGTCTAATATTGGAGATCCATTTTCTGGTTGAGGTTCGATGTATCAAATAGTCTTTTATACTTAAGCATGTGATATGATATTCCCTCTAAAAAAACATCCCATTCAAAACTAAAATTCTAATGAACTTTACATTAACTGATTTCTTAATAGTTAGTATAATAAATAAGTCTAGCAGTATTGACTCAGCCAATTGTAAGATATGTTAGTAAATGCTACAAAAAAGATATGTAAGAAGTTTGTTGTATAAAAAAGTTACCAAAGGTCTTCCACTAGCCGTAGAAAGGTGAAATTTCAAATTTGGAAGTAACTTATGTAATGCATGTTGCCTAAACTCGGACACTATGGTAGTTGACTTTGATTTGTCGGAATTTAATTTTCCCAAAATCAACAATTTCGAAGCTTTACGATGGAAAACGAAAAAGAAAGTAATTTATACACAATAAACAATGGAAACAGATGAATATTAAGGAACCGGAATCAAAGATGACCGGCGATGATTAAGGTAAAAGTCTCAACCGACACTTTTGGCAGGAATTTTGAAGACATCGTAGGAGACCCACTTTCATTTTTTAATATTCCCTTTCTTTTGTCAAATTTTGCAACACAAAACACGTTTAGAGTCGATGTCAACATCAGGATTCAACAGTATAGTATATGGTTTCAAAACCCACATATAGTATGGGTTTTAACTTTTAAGCCTCCAGGCCACACTCATATGCCGATCGTGTTATTAAGAGAAGCGAGAGCTAAGTGTTTTTTTTTTTTTTCGCTAAATAAAGAAAACTAGTCGAGAGGTAAGTGTTAAAAGTATTTCAAAAAAATAACAAAACCCAAACACAATCATATAATCAAAAAGATTGCATCTTTTTTTTTTTTCTAATTTGGCTTGTGGGTTGTTGTAGATTTTATAGTTTTGTATCGTTTCGGCATTTGGTGAACGTGAAATCCAACGATGTTTGCAACACCATGGGTCAAGAAAGCTCGTTGTAACCAGAACGTAATGAGCGTGTAATTACCCAATATTATTGGTGACTAAGAGCCCATAAGAGTATAATTAAATGGGCTCTTTGTAGATTTTGTTTTCTTTTCCTTCTAATATTCGTTTTCGTCTTTCTGAGAAACAGTGAATTCTTAAATTTGAAAAAAAAAAACATAACTGAAACTTTTTAAGCAAAAAACTTCTATTGAGTTTTCATTTTTCTGAAGAAAAGAACTTAGTAACAGCAAGATATAACAATTGTAGAGGCGTGGAAATGAATACAGGCACAATTTTGTATAAATGGAGAAAATTAGGAACTGGGTAAAGTATTAAACAATTCAGAAATTTACGGACACTGCCGACAAGAAAATAACTAAATTTACTGACACCTGAGAAAGATGAATTGGGTATTCGGGTAGACCCCACTATGATTCACTACGCACCATGAAAATAGTTCATGGGGCCCACAAATGGATGAATGCGGCCAAAATCAGACAGCGCGTGTGTCTCACGGTTACTCTTCACCCAGATAAATTGATGACTATTCTCACAAGCGGTCTCCATTTTTCACGTGATTTATTTGATTCTTTGTAACTTTCTTATAAAGTCTTACAATAATTAATGGGAAATTAAGCACATGAAAGTTAACGTCTTTTTCGATTTCACAAACTACAAACTCAATCGTTTGAAAGAAAGAACAAAATATAAGTAGGGTAAGATGATACTGTTAGTTCAAGAAGTTGATGTATATAGATTATGAACAACAAGCAAAGTGAACTGAAAAAACATGTATACGAGTTATTTGATGATGTTTATCGAGACTTGGGAAAAGAAAGAAGATGGAACATGATTTGGATCACTCGAATCGAATATGATGTGGTGCTAATATATGATGCTGCCAGAAAAGAAAGAACGTAAACCACTTATGGTTATGAATGTATTACATCAAGGATTGCTCGGGTTAATTCGATATTTCTATACCATTTATGGTTGTGAATTTTGAACATATGAAAATGGTTAACTAGAGGGGTTAATTCGATATTTCTTTACAAACTTATGGTTATAAATTTTTGTTATTTAAATCACTGATTCAAGACGTGCAAAAGGGGTCACGTTCCTTAAGGTTTTGATTAAACCATTATGTCACCAAAAAGTTACAATTACTACGGAAATGTACAGTGCACCTAAACACAGGGAACAATCTTGTAGTTTCTCACAACACCGTAGCTGCTTCCAGCGTTTTCCGTAGAGTTTAAATTTCCCCGTTACGGTCCCACTTCCAGAACTTTCACCAAACGCCAATCACCACCGTCCGATCTTAAACTTACACGTGTACGTTTCAGATTTCTTAATACCAACTAATCTCAGCGCCTATAATAATCCTCCGTTTAGCCACCACATTAACTCCTCCCCATCACTAAACACAAACAACAAAAACTCTCTGCTCTCATCACATTTCTCTAAACTCTGCTTCTGACATGGCTCCGGAGCTTACACAAAACACTGACGCTAATTCGGCCATGACGATATCGCCGCATATCCACGGCGGTGATCGAGCTTACGTGACGTTTCTCGCCGGAAACGGTGATTACGTGAAAGGAGTCGTTGGTTTAGCCAAAGGACTAAGAAAAGTCAAATCGGCGTATCCACTCGTTGTGGCGATATTACCTGACGTTCCGGAGGAGCACCGTCGTATACTTGTGGAGCAAGGCTGCATTGTCCGTGAAATCGAACCCGTGTACCCACCCGAGAACCAGACTCAATTCGCTATGGCTTATTACGTCATCAATTACTCCAAACTCCGTATCTGGAAGGTACTTGCCATACCCATACGCAGTCGTTTAACCACCTTACCCCATATACGTCGTCGTTTAGCTCCCTTTTTGTGTTGTTTGTACAATCTAATTAAGGCTCTGTTTTGTGTTAATGTGTAGTTTGTGGAGTACAGCAAAATGATATATTTAGATGGAGACATTCAAGTTTACGAAAACATTGATCACTTGTTTGATCTCCCCGATGGCTATTTCTACGCGGTGATGGACTGTTTCTGTGAGAAAACATGGAGCCACACGCCGCAATACAAGATCGGATATTGCCAGCAATGCCCGGAGAAAGTCCAGTGGCCGAGGTCTGAGCTTGGAGAGCCACCGTCTCTTTACTTCAACGCAGGAATGTTCTTGTTCGAGCCTGACCTTGAAACTTACGAGGATCTCTTAACAACCCTTAAAGTCACTCCCCCAACTCCTTTCGCCGAACAGGTAAGAAAATGATTATTTACAGTTTGCTTGGTTTTGCTCTGTTTTTTCTCTGTTTTGATTTGTTCTAAGCTGTGGATATGATTGTGTCAGGATTTCCTAAACATGTACTTCAAGAAAATCTACAAGCCGATTCCTTTGGTTTACAATCTCGTCCTCGCGATGTTATGGCGTCACCCAGAAAATGTAGAGCTTGAGAATGTCAAGGTGGTTCACTATTGTGCTGCGGTGAGCTATTTTGTTTCTAATTTTGTTTTAATTTTTAGTTAAAAAGATTTGATTCTGGGTTCTGAGTCTGACATTGTATGCTTCTCCTTCCTTACAGGGTTCGAAGCCATGGAGATACACAGGCAAGGAACCGAACATGGAGAGGGAGGACATAAAAATGCTAGTGAAGAAATGGTGGGACGTTTACAACGATGAATCTTTGGATTACAAGAAATGTGTAGCTGTTGTCGACAAAGAGGCAGATTTGATGAATCTGAAGCCGTTTATCACCGCTCTTGCTCATACTGAAGCTGGCCGGGTTAATTACGTAACCGCACCGTCCGCTGCTTGAACGTCGAAACTGTTTGGTGTTAAATAGTCGGTGAAGAAGCTTTTAGTTTTCCCTTGGGCGTTGTGTCGGTTCGACAACCACAAATGAATTCTATGGTTGCAAGTGCTCTAGAGGTTGACAGTGATTGATCTGTTTCTTTCTTGTCTATAATGTGTGCTTTATAAGATTTTGCGTGTATTTTCAATCCTTAAACAGTTAAAAATTGAATAACAAGAGAAGTAGTGGTTCCAGCTTTTCTTCCACGATGTGTACGAGTTTGAACATGAGTTCACAGAATGATTAAACACAAGTGGAAAAGAAGCTCGAACGAACATTGCCTCACAGTTGAGAATTCGTAAGATAATAAATCATGCAAGTTGAAACTGCTTAAGATAATAGAATCAAAAGGGGAAAGACTGATCAAAAGAAGAGATAACAACATGTACTCAGTACAGGAAGAAAAAAGCAAAAAGATAACAGAGTTATTTAAAGGAAGGTACAAAGTATTTGAGATGAGAGTCGAAGATAAGAAGAATATGATAATAATAATCTTGGTAAATGTTTTGTAGTAGTAGCGAAAACAGCCACGCTTCTCTGAATTATAAACCAAACAAGCAAAGAGGAATCTGGCTAACCTCTCTTCTATGCCTGCACCATACAACATCACATACACAAAACGTCTCAGGCTCGAATTCTTACCCAAAAACGATTATAGGAGTCAAAAGAGAGGAGAGCTCGTAGATGATACCTTGTTCGCGATGTTGTTGGAGAGCCAGTCAAGTCCTTCATAGAGTCCTTCTCCAGAGGTGGCACATGTGCTCTGAATGTACCTGTTATTACAATCATTGCATGAGGTTATATATATATATATATATATATATATATATAGCTCGCATATCAAGGGTTATATGTTGTGTGAATCGAGAGAGCTGTTTGTTTAGGCTCACCAGTGTCGTTGGCGGAGAGAGTGGAGCCCAAGCTTGTCAGTAATCTCAGCAGCGTTCATGGCGTTTGGAAGATCTTGCTTGTTAGCAAACACTAGCAGAACTGCATCCCTCAATTCATCCTGCCAAAAATCATCACGAAAGTCAAAACCAAAGTTACCTTTCAAGAAACTGATTCTTAACTATACAAATGTAAAGAGTGAAAATACCTCATTCAGCATCCTGTGAAGCTCGTCCCTGGCTTCCACAACACGGTCACGATCATTGCTGTCCACAACAAAGATAAGTCCCTGTGTGTTCTGGAAGTAGTGCCTCCACAATGGACGAATCTGGATGACAACCAAAGAAACAATTAATTAGAAGAAGAAAAATAACATAGTCCATCAAGAATAAAGTGCTCATATGTAAATGTCAGCGAGGAAGAAGACATCTCTCTGAGAATCAAAGCATGCTCAAAATTCCAGCTGATTTGATCTAGCTTATCAATTGTAGAGTGCGGGTATAAAAAAAACGTAATACCAACACTGAACCTAATAAGCAAAACCCTTTTCGAAGAAATGACATTATACATGAAATGATAGAGCAGCTTGCAGAATCTGTATCAGGAAATATAATGAAGAATACCTTGTCCTGACCCCCGACATCCCACACGGTGAAGCTAATGTTCTTGTATTCCACAGTCTCAACATTGAACCCTGAAAGAAAAACAATAAAACAAGAAATTTCAGCTTCTCACAACAAATCACATTCATCTCATCTACAAGCAATGGAAGTGGATAGATAAACAATTGAAATAAGTAAGAGGCAAATGAAGTTTTCACTCACCAATGGTTGGAATAGTGGTGACGATCTCTCCAAGTTTGAGCTTGTACAAGATGGTCGTCTTACCAGCAGCATCGAGACCCACCATCAGAATACGCATCTCTTTCTTCGCAAACAGCCTGCTGAACAACTTTCCGAATGATAGCCCCATTTTTCCACGCCTCTTCCTTCACACAACAAAGGAATAAACACAATTGATTCAGATTCAAAATCAACGAAGCCACAGTTCTGAATCCAGAAACAAACAAAAAAAAAACAAACACAATTGCGGAATCATCTATCGAGCGACGGAGATAGAGCGAGACCATTGTGGACATATGATTACAAATTGTATCGGATCTCGTTCGTATCATCGTGTTTGGATCGAATCAATAAGAGATCTAATGACGAGTACAAGAGAACAGCCTGATCTACGAAATTCGACTAAGATCAATTTACTTTTCTACGGCGCAGATACAGATCCAGCATTACGAGCTAGCGAATCACAGGAAAAAACGTCTATTCATGATAGAAAACGGAAGAAACACAACAGATCTGGAATTAACGAGCGATGAACAACGTACGGATCCGGATCGAGAAAACGAAATTCGAACGGAAGAATCAGTAAACGGAGGAAGAGAGAGAAGGGATCAACGGAATAAACGTACCGAAGAAACTACGCCGCACGAGATCTCAGCTCTCTATCTCTCTGGTGACGATGGTTGTCTAAGAAATGGCCTTCGAAAGTTTCACGATGATCTTTTTGTGTCGCACAAAAAATCTGTACTTATAATCCCCAGTGAGCGTTGGAAATACGTCGAATATATGTTCTTAATTTAAATATCATTTCTGCAACACAATTCGGCCCTTCGTTTAATCAAATTGATCAACAACAACAATATAGGCCCATTGGGCTTTTCCGACCAATCAGTTAAGCGTTTTCTGTCGCTTGCTTATTCGAATCTTAGTCCAAAACGACGCCGCAAGAATCCTAGCCTGATTTTACTGTTTCGTGAACCGGGTCTAAGTTGACCAGACAAATCGGGTTTAGTATCGTAAAACCTTTTTGTTTAAGGATGAATTTGTATCCATTCATTTGTTTTGGAATTGGTCGGTCCTTGTGTCTGAATCAATTGCGTACAAAGGTTATTTAATTGATTGTAATGATTTGCGCATTTTATTGATTACTGTAGAGTCAAACTATGAGACATTATTACAATCTAGAGGCTCCAAATTTTCAGACAGAAAAAACAAGAAATAATAGATCCATTTATAGTGAAAGAAATTATTATGGTTATGAGTAAAATATATTGGAATGGGCGGGCTGTTTAAATTGAGGGATGGAAAAGGAAGTGAGGACATGATAATGAAAAGACCCTACCATATAAGCATTAATATAATATTTATAGACATTGGAAGTCTAGCCTTCATGCATCGATGTTTCATACTTTATTGTATAAGTGGACGACAACATATTCCATACATCCAAATATTTCTAAATTTAACTTAAGTATCAAACCGAAAACTGTATATGTTTTGTTATATCCGTCGTAGACCGTATAGTGTTGTGCTGTGCGTAGGGAGGAGATTCAGGTGCATTAACAAACAACGCACAAACGTTAAGGAGATGTCGTTTCAAACTAGCGCCAATCAACTCCTCTGTGTCTCCTTTCTCTTTTCATACGCTTAGACATTTTAAATATTTAGTTTGCAGGATTAAATTGGTCAAAGGTTGCGCATGACATCTAAATCCAACTCGTTATATAGATATGAGAGATTACCTCATTTGTTGTGGTTGTACTTCGTTTAGTTAGTGTATACACACTTTTTAAAGATGTAGAGCCGTATTTATACTTGAGATCAATCTTACACTTCTAATTAGTTAAGCTAGACACATGTACCTTTTCTATTTTTAAAAAAATATAACACTATATACTTGAGTTTCTGTTAGTAACTTCTGAATCGGATAATATATTATCCATTAACTATACATGCACAATATATACAGGGCTGGTCTTGAAACTAATTCCAATATAAACAAATAGAAAAGTAATAGTACGGTAAATAATTTAGTATGTGAGAAGAAAGATAGTAGTAACTACTAAGTAAGTATAGTAACGTTAACATGTAAGAACATCGTATTAATAGAAAGTGAAAACGACGAATCTGGCCTAGATCGTATCAAAGAAATAACGAATGTTATGTGGCGTTCTGTGTATTATGTGCTAGCGAAATATATATAACCAAACATGCTTATTCAAAAATAACAATACCGAAACGAATGATTGGTGCTTTAGTGGCAGATTTTGAATGGTGAAAATTTTTCAAGTATATTTAGGATATCCTTTAAGGTTTTATCTACAAAATTTCAGTGTTACCTCATGTTTATTTATTATATTGTATTAGACCATGAGTGTGAAAAGACAAAAAAAAATCATATATAGGACTAAATAATATTTATTTATAAAAGAAAGAATAAAGTATTTTAACCCTAATTTCACAAAGTTTTTTTAAAAAAAAAACACTGAAGATAATCTTTTTTTACATGTAACACAAGCTAATATAAACGTAACAATCAAGTCAGTCCTAAATATACTAAAGAGAGTATTTATATTATAAATATACTTTGTTAAAGCAATATGTGCATGCAGTGACGCGATAAGGCATTATAGAGAACCAATTAAATTCATTCACGCACACGGGAGTTTTCGTAGATACTTTGCTTTTTCAACACTTTTAAATTGTAATGTCTCTCATTTTCAAAGTATTGATTATATACCCGTTTTCTTTTTTTGTTAAAGGATTATATACCCGTTTTCTCTATTAATACTTTTAAAAATACGAACATTTTTAAGTTACCGCCACGAAATTACCAATAAATTTGAAATACCAACATTCTTACTTATATATAGTTTTAACATCGCACTATTAGATTAATTAAGTGAAAAAAACAGACATATATGTCAAATATCAGTTAAGAAACGTGATTGAAACATTATCTATATACTTTTTAAAAAATGTATATAAAATCCATCAACGAAACAATTACACGAACTGTATCGTTTTAATTGTTTAGTATTATATACTTTTGTTATCGTTTGAACTTTGAACTCTTTGAATAATTAAACAATGGATGGACCCACGAGAGGAAAGGTCCCGATACGAAGTATATGCTTTTAGAAGAAAAATATGTGGAAAAATCACGTAGATTACAACGTCATATGAAATATGGTAGGCCGTCGATTATTAGTTCTTCGGTTACATGATAATTTAAAC